AACCCACATGACCCAGCAGTCCGCAACGCAGAGTTTACCTATAGGTAAAGGTATAGGTATGAAACGCTTTGCGTAATAGTGGCTTTAGGCATTGTATGTACTAGCTCTACCTATAAGTCAACCAATCTTTGTAAAAATTTATTGTATGTATGTACCTTACCTAAATAAATTATTATTATTATTATTATAATAGGTACAGGCAAGATCTCATACGGCATCAACTCAACACGAAGAAGGAAGCCCTCCAAACCCTTACAGAGCAAGGGAAACTATTAAGGGGAAAGCACTAAGTCATTACGACTATATAGCACTGGGAAGGGGGTCAGGATAAGGATTTGGGATGGGACGGGGTGGGGGGGAAGGAATAGTGCCCAACCACTTGGACGGTTGGGGATTGAACGCCGACCTGCATGACGCAAGGCCGTCGCTCTACCGTCGAGCCCAAGTGGTTGGCCATACAGAGCAAGCTGAACATCAGTCAATTAAATGTACCCAGTACGACAACCAATCCCCAACCAACTCAAGGAAACCATCAACAGTGAACTATCAGGCCTAAAACTACAACACAAAACGCATGTCGAAACGAGGACACTCCGAAAGCTAACAGCCCTTAACGGTGGACACTTAAAGATCCCTCGTCCTAAAGACGGTGACATAAACCTAACTACTCATGATCTTAGTCAGGACCAACGAGACCTCCTGACTCTTGGATAGATGACATTGTTTATGTAATAATCTAAGATGAGGTCTGATAAAGACCTTTTGTGCCCTCTGTAATGCTTTTGCGCTACCGCTCACAGGTTGAGTATGGGGTGCACAATAAACTAGCCGCCTTCGGCGACAACAATCAATCAAATCCTGACTCTTGGTCTAAACTGCCAATTCATATCAAGACCTAAGAAGCATCAAAAACGCCTTGAAATCGAAATGCTTCTGGAAAATGCTTCATCCATAAGCTAGAAGACAACAAAAAAGTCATCACCACTGACACACTTCAGGCTGAACTACTAACAGAAGCAGGGAAAAAACGAGGAACATATTCATCTACAATCTTAACCCCACGACTCAAAGAAGCAGCAAAACAACTAAAAATTCTGAAAGACGTAACAATAAGAAAAGCCGACAAGACAGCAGCATATGTATTGATTCCTCCCCAAGAATACATGAACAAAATTAGCGACATCAAATTTCAACGAATCACGAGGAACCCTGTGGAAGACCTCAAAGTAAACAAAACAATTACTGCAATCAACGCAAAGAAAGGTAGTGTGCATTTCACTAAACTCCAAGGCGACTATGGCTTAGGATATGCCTATGGCAATGTTAAGACACACACACCAGGTAACCCACTACGCCCAATAATTAGCCAAATACCAACTCCAACCTATCACCTGGCAAAAAGACTTAATGAACTCCTAACTCCATACACTCCAAGCAACTATAGTCTACAATCATCAGCAGATTTCCTAGAATTAATCAAAACTACACAGCCTGATGGAATCATTGCTTCCCTGGACGTCGAATCCCTATTTACCAACGTCCCAGTCGACACAACCATAGGAATGATACTGGACAGAGTATACAGAGACGAGAGCACCCCCAAATTAGACATACCTGAGCCACACTTGAAAAGTCTTCTCGAAGCATGTACAAAGGAAGCCGCTTTCATCAGTCCACATGGAGACATGTATCTACAAATAGACGGAGTAGCAATGGGCTCCCCCTTAGGAGTGTTATTTGCTAATTTTTATATGGGAACCATCGAAGACAGGGTCTTCAGTAGCAGACAAAAACCAACTGTATACTGCCGTTATGTAGATGACATATTCGTCATAGTAAAAGACTCAGATGAACTAATTGATCTAAAAAGCCATCTAGAGAGAGAGTCAGTACTCCGATTTACACATGAAAATAGTGAAAATAATAGTCTGCCATTCTTGCATGTACTAATAACAAAAACAGGAACCTCTTTAAGCACCAACGTATATACTAAGCCTACCAACATAGGATTATGCCTGAACGGTAGAAGTGAGTGCCCCCAAAGATACAAAGCCAGTGTTCTCAATGGGTAAGCGCTCAATTCGTCGAGCGCTTACCCACTGCTCTGAATGGAGCAACGTGAGTAGAGAGTTTGAAAGAGTAACTCAGGTATTGGTGAACAACGGATATAGCAACACAGAAATAAACGCTGCTATAAGAAGACACTTGGACCGTTGGTATAATCCTGAACCTAGAACAGAAACCACAATACCTCCAAGAAGATTATATTTTAAATCAACCATGCACAGTGAACATAAAAAAGAGGAAAGAATAATGAAAGAAATAATCCGTAAAGGAGTAAAAAGCACTACTCCTAACCAAAACATAGACCTGATCATATTCTACAAAACCAAGAAGACTTCCGAACTCCTTATCAAAAACAGCCCGAAGCCGACGGAGAACCCTCTACAGCAGTCAAGCGTTGTATACATGTACACTTGCCCCCACGAAGGATGTAACCTTCAATCTAAGTACATAGGTATGACGTCGACCAAGCTGACGAGGCGTTTGACCTTGTTGCCGTCGAAACTTCACCTTCAAAATGAACTTGACTAGATAAACTCCTCTTCCAGCTGATTAGTAAGAGGGATAGAAGCCCTAAATCAGAAAATAGTTACGGAATATGCTGTCATATTCAATGAAACATTCATATATATATATATATATATATATATATATATATATATATATATATATATATATATATATATATATATATATATATATATATATATATACAGTATTTTCCCTTCGATTCGGCTTATATGTTCTCAGTACATGTATCTGTGAACATAAGCAGTCTTGGGCCTTGAGATCTCAGGGGCCCCCCAGCATCTCAGGGGGCCCCCCAGCATCTCATGGACTTCGACATCTCATTTCTCTCGGTATATCATGTCTTTTTACCTCTCTTATAATACGGCTCACTCTATAAAGCAACTTGAAGTTATTTTCAATCGTGTCCTATTAATAACTAGTGGCACACTTTAAATCTACCATTTGCCGGTAAAGATATCTATCGGTTCCTAGTTAGAAAATCTATACCATGCTAGTTATCTTCCCTGTGCCAAGCCAAGACGGTAAGTCGTTCCGTTATCCTCAGCGAAGTTATAACGAGATGAGAAAGTTCCGTTATCCTCAGCGAAGTTATAACGAGATGAGGAAGTTCCGTTATCCTCAGCGAAGTTATAACGAGATGAGAAACTTCCATTATCCTCAGCGAAGTTATAACGAGATGAGAAAGTTCCGTTATCCTCAGCGAAGTTATAACGAGATGAGAAAGTTCCATTATCCTCAGCGAAGTTATAACGAGATGAGAAACTTCCATTATCCTCAGCGAAGTTATAACGAGATGAGAAAGTTCCGTTATCCTCAGCGAAGTTATAACGAGATGAGAAAGTTCCGTTATCCTCAGCGAAGTTATAACGAGATGAAAAACACAGCAACACAATCGAAATGTTTTTCACGTAAATGATTGTTCACTTACGGAAGTTTTCCAAGACCATTACTCTGAAATTTCTATCGTTCACGTTGGGTAAATGAAAACTTGAATAATTTTTTTATTTGAAGAAGCGCAAAAAATATATATCTTCGTCTTGGATAAAAAAGAAAATGATAACCAACAAATTATCGGCTCTTAACAAATTGGTGCAAGATATCTCTCTCGCCACAAAAATTTTTTGCACGAATATTCTACAAGCAATTTCATCCTGTATGACTTATAAAAAGATTTATCTTTCTCGTTCAACCGCTCAAACTCAGATGCTGTTAAAGAGATATATTCTTAGGTTCGTTCACAAAGGTCAATCTTGCTTCTGGAAGGTTGGCACCTGACAGCTGGGTGGACAGCGCTTCGGATTCGTAGTCCTGAGGTTCCGGGTTCGATCCCCGGTGGAGGCGGAGACAAATGGGTAAAATGTTTCTTTCACCTTGATGCCCCCTGTTACCTAGCCGTAAATAGGTACTGGGAGTTCGACAGCTGCTACGGGCTGCTTCCTGGGGGTGGAGGCCTGGTCGAGGACCGGGCCGCTGGGGATACTAAGCCCCGAAATCGTCTCAAGATAACCTCAAGATAAGATTGTCATCACAGCCATCTTAATCTGGCACAACATATCAGTAACTAGGGGGGAGGGACCCGGCTCAGCCCGGGTCTCTCTGCCCTTCTCCTTTACCCTTTTTCTAATCTCTCCCTCTTTCCAGTCTCTCCCTATCTCCCCTCCCTCCCTCCTCCCTCTCTTCGCATCTCTTTTCTCCTCTGCAACTTACTATTTTTCTCTCATATCTCTGCAATCTGCTTTCTCTCTCTCTCTCTCTCTCTCTCTCTCTCTCTCTCTCTCTCTCTCTCTCTCTCTCTCTCTCTCTCTCTCTCTCTCTCTCTCTCTCCTTCCATTATTTATCTTGCCCCTCTCCCTCAGTTATTATTATTATTACTATTATTATTTAGTCTATATTTCTTCCTCCAAACCATTTTCTTGTCGCAGGAATTTTACGAACCAAAAGTATTTTGTCTCGGCAGCGTCACAGACCAAAATATTTTGCCACAGACAGAATTATTTGATCACGACAATATCGCCCCACAAACCTATCTTGCCTTCCATTCCTCTGGGCTCTATAAGGAGACTTATAGAGCCCAGATGAGCCTCTTATCTTGCCTCTTCACCAGAATCCAACCCCCACCCAAGATCTACTCCCTTCCAATATTACCTATCTTCCCAACACTATTCTGATATGGAGTTCCCCCTTTATATGTACCGGAACAGCTCAAGACACTACTCTAATATATAAACTCACCTGGGCGTTGCTTAGTCCAAGCGATTGGGCTAGTTCGTCTCTGTCGGCGGGCGAGAGGTATTTCTGGTACAAGAAGCGCTTCTCCAGTTCGAAGATCTGGTGGTTAGTGAAAGCTGTTCGACTCTTCCGTTTCTTCTTGGGCGGCTGTCTGCTGTTGAAGAGGTTAACGGCGTCTGTTGGAGGAGAATAACCCATTGTAGAGCAAAGTGGGATGGGGGAAATTGGTCCCATCTCAACAATGGTTTCTAAAACGGACATGTAAAGGAGTTTTGTTCTTGGATGCGGGACAAAAATGCACGGGTATGAATGAGTTGTTTAAGACTGTGAAACTCTACTTAGTTCTACGGTTCAATACCTGGTTCTTTTGAGACTATGAAGCACTACGTGGTTCTATGGTTCAATACCTGATTCTTTAATATTATGAAGCATGATTTACATACTTGTGATCCAGAAACATTTACACAAGAGATCATTAGCATTACATTCTTAAAGAATGTGTAGTTATATAGGCTGGCTCAGTGGAATTACATATGCCTTCTGTTCAAGGTACACAAGAGGTCTTAGAACTCGAGTCTTAGTTCGAGTCTTAGAACACCGGTGAATAAATCGCTTCTTTCCGAATCAATCCCTTGATTTTCCCGAATCATTCCCTTGATTTTCCCGAATCAATCCCTTGATTTTTCCCGAATCATTCCCTTCATTTTCCCGAATTATTCTCTTGATTTTTCCCGAATCAATCCCTTCTTTCTAGACACCACTCCATAAAAAAAATCATCTGTTTTGCGTAATCAGAAACGAACGCGTGCAAGTAACCCACTTAAAACGTGAATATTACGTGCTTTTAACGTTTTTTAATCCGTCGCATTTTGACCCGATTGATCCCAATCCGTCTCGGTTTTTATTGATAGCACTTCCAGAGTAATACAAACCTGAATATATATTTTTATTGACAATTTCTGTGCAGAAGGTTAAAATGTATCTGCTTGTTCGCTAAGTAGATTGCCTCTAATTGTGTTAACGACTGTGCCGTACTTGGTGGTTGTTGGTTGATGTAGTTATCTGTGGTTGATTGTGCAACCCGTCTCCGACTGAAGTCCATTCCATCTAGCGGTCGACCCCATAGACGCATTCATAAATTTTTACATGCTGTTCATTCAAAACGGGAGTTTTCTCAAATATAAATTATAATTATAATATATTAGCATATTGTGCATATATAGGCATAGGTTAGGTTAGGTGTTTAGGTTCTGTTGGCGATTATTTGTGTTTGTAGTACGTGGGTGAAGCATTTATAGCGTTGTGGATCGAACAAAATTCGTCAGTGAAGCACTTGTTCCGGATATGTTCGAACGTCAGCAGTTGAGTCGTGTGTAAACCGCTTTTCATTCATAAGCAGGGGGGTAGGCGGGTGAATGGAATCACTTTTGGGTCTTTGTTTGAAAGACGGGCTGGATTATGACCCTGTGGTTCTATGGTTTCAAATCCTTGTGGTCCAAGTATGCAGCCCGTCCTCCAAACAAAGATCCAAAAGTGATTCCATGCACCCGACAAACCCCCTGTTTATGAATGAAAAGCGGTTTACACACGACTCACAACTGCTGACGTTCGAACATATCCGGAACAAGTGCTTCACTGACGAATTTTGTTCGAATCACAACGCTATAAATGCTTCACCCACGTACTACAAACACAAATAATCGCCAACAGAACCTAAACACCTGACCTAACCTATGCCTATATATGCACAATATGCTAATATATTATAATATTAGTTTATACTTGAGAAAATTCCCGTTTTGAATGAACAGCATGATAAAATTTATGAATGCGTCTGTGGGGTCGACCGCTGGATGGAATGGATTTGAGTCGAAGACGGGTTGAAGTATGGAAGATTTTGATCCTTCAAACACACTCTGCAATACAGAGAAAATATTCAACTGTCATCTAATACACTACTCTAATTTACAACTGGGAATCAGTGTATATATGTCGAACTGGCGTGAGCTCTTCTCTTAATTACAATCTTAGATATTCTTGCACTCATAACTTTCACACATTAGTAATGATAATAAATTATTTGATATTTATTATTATTTTTATTATTATTATTATCAAAACCATTCTACTTTTTTAAGCATAATTATCTAATCAAAATAATTCACAAAATTAATAATTGTCGTACTGTATATTTTTTTATATATGGAAAGCACCAGTATTCGTGTTAGTGAAACATAATTAACTTTCAGGATATCTACCTATGTACTGCCATTCTCAAAGCTGCTCCACGTGTATAAGCTACGTATATACGCTAGACTTTGCGTATATATTTGCTGCCCAGCAATTGAACCTCCCTAAGCTGCTCTGGGGCCAGATTCACGAAAGTACTTACGCAAACACTTACGAACCTGTCCATCTTTTCTCAATCTTTGGCGGCTTTATTTACAATTATTAAACAGTTAATGAGCCCCGAAGCACCAGGAGGCTGTTTATAACAATAACAACAGTTGATTGGCAAGTTTTCATGCTTGTAAACTGTTTAATAAATGTAACCAAAGCCGTCAAAGATTGAGGAAAGATGTACACGTTCGTAAGTGTTTGCGTAAGTGCTTTCGTGAATCTGGGGTCAGATTCACGAAAGCACTTACGCAAGCACTTACAAACCTTTACATCTTTTCTCAATCTTTGGCGGCTTTGTTTACAATTATTAAAGAGTTAATGAGATCCGAAGCACCAGGAGGCTGTTTATAACAATAACAACAGTTGATTGGCAAGTTTTCATGCTTGTAAACTGTTTAATAAATGTAACCAAAGCCGTCAAAGATTGAGGAAAGATGTACACGTTCTTAAGTGCTGGCGTAAGTGCTTTCGTGAATCTGGCCCCAGGTTCGTAAGTGCTTGCGTAACTGCTTCTTGAATATGGCCCCAGGTTCGTAAGTGCTTGCGTAACTGCTTCGTGAATATGGCCCCTGGACCTTGCGTATATACGCTGGCCAGAGGTTAGACTCCCTATGCTTATTGTTGTTGTTAAAGATTCGCTACTCAGAACAAAAAATTCCAAGTAGCACGGGCTATGGTGAGCCCGTGTCCCTACTGTGGATCTTGCGTATTTACGCAGCAAGGACGGAGTTGCCAGGTACTCTTATTTATGCCGATTAGCGAGAACGTTATGAAAATTTATTGAATACCTAAGTGTAATGGTTTCGTGGTAATTAAAATAAATGAAGTCATTAAATCAGCCGCAGCTACGCATTAGTGACCGCACTAATTGCCACTTGTTCCAAAAATGTGATTGAAAAAAAAAAATTGTATGTGGGTGTTTATTATTGATGGGAGTGTTGCCACTGAGGGTTCTTTGTTTTTTTCAAAGTCTATTAATATGTTCTTGAATTTAGATATCTTATTTTTTTTATGTTTTTTTTGGTCTATATTCTTTCTTCAAATTCTTTCATTATTCGCACTCCTTCTTAAAACTTTCTTAGTTCAAACACTTTTTCTTCACACGTTCTCTTACTTCAGAAAACCCTTCCTTCAAACGCATTCTTCCTTCAAATGCACCCTTATTTTGAGGTAATCTTGAGATAATTTCGGGGCTTTTAGTGTCCCCGCGGCCCGGTCCTCGACCAGGCCTCCACCCCCCAGGAAGCAGCCCGTGACAGCTGATTAACACCCAGGTACCTATTTTACTGCAAGGTAACAGGGGCATAAGGTGAAAGAAACTCTTCCCATTGTTTCTCCTGTGGTCCCGGGTTCGATCCCGGACGCCGGCGAGAAACAATGGGCGGAGTTTCTTTCACCCTTCCTTCAAACGCATTCTTCCTTCAAAGGCTCTCTTCCTTTCTTACTTATTTCCAATATTTAAATCTCTTCATTCGTTCTATCAACACTTCATTTCCCCCTTCAACCCTTCCTTCACCTAACTTCCTTCCCATCAAACCGTCTTTCCCTCTCTCCCTTACTCTCTCATCGTCTCCCTATTCCTCTTCCTTCCCAGAAACCAGTTCAGTTGAGAATTGCTGAATTGTGTGAGAATTTGAGAAACCACTTGGACTTGACGGTAGAGCGACGGTCTCGCTTCATGCAGGTCGGCGTTCAATTCCCCCGACCGTCCACAAGTGGTTGGGCACCATTCCTTTCCCTCCGTCCCATCTCAAATCCTTATCCTGACCCCCCTTCCCAGTGCTATATAGTCGTAATGGCTTGACGCTTTCCCTCTGATATTTCCCTTTCCTTCCGATCTCCTATCCTAGAGAGAGAGAGAGAGAGAGAGAGAGAGAGAGAGAGAGAGAGAGAGAGAGAGAGAGAGAGAGAGAGAGAGAGAGAGAGAGAGAGAGAGAGAGAGAGAGAGAGAGAACAAATATCAAGACAATATATATTTTGTCAAGTTCTATAACTGGTTAAGTTAACGCCAATGAGGCCTCAGGTTATCCCTAGAACACGATCCGCTCATTGCTTTACAACCATTTCTCAAATTACTTTACTCCCAAGGGTGTGCGAGTACGTACAGTGAGAGAGATTGGTGCCCAATCGTTTCGTCCTCTCTTGGGTTTGACGGCACGGGTATTGACACCGTGTATCCTGGCATTAACATGACACATGAGTACTGACAAGGCATATCCTGCCACTGACATGACACCCTGTATGACTGACACGATACCCAGGGTGGACAAAATGACACATTTCTATGACACACGCTTATGGACGGCGTGACACAGTCTTAGGCTCTGGCATGTGTCATGATACACAAGATAATTCTCGACTAGTTCTCGTAGCGATGAATGAAGAATACACGAATGAAGGAGTGAATTAGTGAATGCATGAATGAAGAATGACGAAAGAAGAGGAGGCTTCGGTAGAGAAGGTGAAGGAAGAGAGAGAAGACAGGAAGAAGGGACGGTATGACACCTATGTCACCTTAGACAGTGTCCACCTGTCAGTGACAGTGTGAGGGGGGGGGTGGGGAGGCTTGAGAGACAGTAATTACTCCGTCTTGTTACTGGCTTAACTATCAAATTGCCTGTTATTCTACCACAAACGATGGGTTATAGTTAGTATAGGGGAACCGAGCGGACAGCACGCTGGACTTGTGATCCTGTGGTCCCGGGTTCGATCCCAGGCGCCGGCGAGAAACAATGGTCAGAGTTTCTTTCACCCTATGCCAATGTTACCTAGCAGT